AAAAAGTTGTTTTAACAAAAAAATTTTTTGAATAAACAACAAAAAAAAAATGGAATTAAAAAAAGAAAAAAAAAAAAAAAAAAAAAAAAAGGGAAAAGAAGCATATTTTTAATGTGGGCTGGGTGATAAAAACAGCTTTCAGGATTTATGTTCCAAGGCACAGGTCAAAAAAAAAAAAAAAAGAATTTACTGGAGTGATTTGTGTAAAGAGGGTGAATGAACACCTTCAGGTAAAGATTCAGAAGAGTGGAATGCAGTTAAATGTGTACCAACAACAAAGAAACCCATAAGGACTCAATTTGAATAGATGGATTTTTATGCTTTTGTTTTCTACTTCACATTTTTAAACTTTTGAATAATCTTCTTTGTGTTTCCTATGCCATATAGTGTCATGGGTGACTGTGATGTTTATTTTTTTATGATGAGCTCCTTTGAGCTCTGGATTCTTTATGGAAGTTTTATTTTATTCTAAGATGCTCCGCTGACAAAAATGAAGCTTGCATCAAACGAAGCCATGCAATGAGCTCCATCATGAAAAAGATAAATAAAGCAAACTTTGGCCACATGACAGTATGACTCTTATGTGTAACATCAAGGAGTCTGTTGCAAAAACGTCACTCCATTTCCAACAAGGTTTGTAAAAAAATTGGCAGGATGGTTTCACCCGCTTAACTCAAGCAATCATTCAGAATAGAGCTAAACAAGCGAGACTGTGCCACACTGCAGACTTGCACAAAATCCCAAAAGGAACAACACGAAAAGGATTTGGTTATCAGTAAGTTGCAACCATGTCGTCATCAGAGTTTGTCACCCAGCTAATCAACTGTGTGCACATTATGACTGAAATGGGCACAAAATTGAAGGAAGGCTTGTGTGGAGGTTTGCGCTTCATTTGCTCAATTAAAAGGACATTTTACTCTGACGGCCTGTTATGTTATGAAAGGGGCTTATGTCAACCTTTACTAATGAACGCAGTGTATAAAATCCTGATTGACAAGGGCTAATCAATACCTTTCACTTGCTACTATATAAGTATTAGGTTGTCACTAAAGAGGAAGTAGTTATCAGATAATTTCATAGCCTTAGCACTCCCAGCTCAATATTAGGCACAGCCATAACAGTAATCTCTGATATAAATCATAAACATTATCTCTGGTGGACCGGTTGCCAAAATGGCAGCAAAATCTGATTAATTCAAAATGTCACTTGAGCAGACTTTGCTCAGGTACTTATGTAATTAAGGGTGCAAAGTTATTGCTATTCCTGAAGAGTTTATTTGAGTGTTATCAGTCACCTAACACTAAAGCAACCAATCACAGTCATGAATTGAAACAACAAATTGCAGCAGCACACAGTTTCCTTGTGCTCTTTTTCTGCTAATCTAATCCAGCATCAATTATGTGCGTACCAGACTGTAGACTATATAATAAATGGACCGAGCTACTGTAACCTCACCTATTGATCTGTCATATGCAGTTTTGAAGCCTCATTTCAGGTATTTGGCTACCAAGATGTTGCTCTAATTGGAGTGAGAGATAATTTAAGCCGATTCCTACTTTTTGGTGCTACACCTGCTTCTGGATTTAAAGTTTCCCTTCAACCATTCATAATCCCCCCATCAGATTATTTGATACCTGTTTTGATTTATAGTACATCATGGTTTAGCTTCATTTTCATGCATGTTTGGGACTTAAGCAACAGCTCAGCCAGGGTTCCACATAATTTTGAACATGTGTACATATTGAATATTGCACCAACAAAATGGCAAATATACTGCACTTGCTCCTCTGCTTTGAAGTTATGTAAGTGCTACATCAATGTCACAACAATGACTAAGTAATATTACTTATTCTCATGTAATGCTATGCAGATGCTCTGTCTACACTGATGAAAATTAACTCACTTATGCATGCTTACCTGTTGAACTGACAGCAGCTTGACATTTTTCTGAACAATTTGGCTAAGAACTGTCTGAAAACTTGAGGAGACATTGAACTTTAAACCCCACCATCTAACCTTAACCCAGTACAACAATGTAAATTCAACACCCTCTGTTCTGATAGACACACACTGTACAAAATGGGGGGCAGACCAATAGTGACACACATATGTCGGAGGTGCTACATGACTTGAAGAATAATGGTTAAAACGTGTCGCCTCAACCTGTATCCTTCCGCACTCGAGAGGTTTACGTGCCATCTAGTCTTTTCATGTAAACAAATTCTATGTAAATAGTTAACCAGCTTACAACATCTGTCAGCACACAGTGGTATTTATTTAAAGACTGTTCCTGTGTAATGGAAGCTACTGCTTTTCCATGTCCCTCATTTCTGTCTTCTCAGGCACCATCAAGTCCTGACCGATGGCCAGTCACGCTAGGTCTGGTTCTACTGATGTCGTTTCTCTCCACTGATAAGGTTGAGATTAAGAGTTTTGCAAGAGTAAGGCTTTAAAGGGCTTAACATTAATTTAATTATGTTTTTTTATATATATATACCCAACATCACACGAGTCAGGAAAAATAATCTCCTTAATTATACAATACAGACTTATTGGAAAAATGTTTTGTTATTTAGTATTCAATTAAGAAGTATATATTTTTTATAATGGCAGCCTATTAAAATGAAACAGCTATTAGTGGCTATTAGGGACATTAAAATTTTATAGATTTCCACATTGACTTTCACTTTTCACACTGATACCCATCTGTTTAATGTGGCTTATATTCAGCTCCTTTAAACCAGTAGCCATTTGCCCAGAAGACATAGAAAATACAATGTTGGCAGAAACACTTTCTTTGTGATATCCAGCACATGTGGAATGTGTTCTCCAAGCTGCCTGCGGGCAGAATATGAAATAATAAATTAATGTGTTTATACTTATCTGGTATCCTTGAGTATGTCTCAAAGGGAGTTTTATCCTGACTCTAAGTTCAAGTAAAATACACGAAACAGGGAAAATTGAGCTTATAAATAAACTGGATTTGCAAAATTCAGCTGTGCTTATATGTTTGTGTATACACAAATTATAGAATTATTCAGAGCTAAAATTAAATGAAAGTTTCAATGTATTGTATAAATCACTTTAATTTCCTACTTTAAAAAGTGCCTTAAACGCATCTGGCGAGCAGCTCCGCCTCAGGGCCTGCTGGACAAATTCAGCTATCCCGTCGGAAAAATGCCATGCGACAGGCCATAGTTGGCATGACTGACATAATTATCAGCCAATTAAAATTGACATACAATGACGGTCCGTCCCACAGGCCCAGCTGTGAGTAAAAAGCTTCCCCTGTGTTATCCGTCACTGTAGTGAACTTGGTATTTACAAAATGGTAGCCACTTCCGGTTCAACTTCTGTTGACCTAGTTGCAGATTTATGAAAATTGCCTTTTTCAAGACGCTCTTTACTGGATAAAAAAAAAAAAAATAATAATAATGTAAACCCCACACTAAACCTGGATTCACCAACACAGACCAGTAAGAACTTTGTAAGGTATTTTAAAGACTGTATCTATGAGCGCTACCAGTGGCTAACAGCTAGCACTGAGCACAACAACCTGCGAATTTTATTTACAAGTTATGGGTGAGTTACTTTTCCACTACATCCTAATACAGACTTTACTGAGCATTTTTTCGTTTAATAGTTCACAGGTGCTATTTGAGCAGTTTGGTCTGACATTGAGCTTAACTGGGGTACATAGAAATGTTTTGCTAAATTGTTGGCTGTTCAGTTATGTGCGCTGTTGCCTGTGCTTGATATGCATTGTTGCTTTACTTGGCGTATTTTTATTTATTTGCATTTTATGGGATGCCTGTTGATAGGTGTGGTGCATCGTTTTTGCGTTGCCATGCACAGCGTGTCTTGTTCAGGCATGACGTCTATTGAAGACCCTGACTGAAACCCCACGGTGTGCAACGGGAATATAACGTATAAAGTAACAACATTTTTTATTTCCCCAATAAAACCATCATTAAGAGACATGGTACTGATTAAAAATTAGAATGATATAATTGATGTCTGTTGGTAGTGCTAATATTAAAAAAATGATAATTTTCACTTTTTATTCACATGCTTTAAAGCCTTTGACAGCTCAATTTTCAACACTGAGAGAGAAAATGATGAGAGGCTTAAATTCCTTTCACATCCTGCAATTACAGCCATCAAGATGATGTGGACGTTTTCCTCCCAGCTGGAGGCCTGTACTTACACAATTAGAACACTTAAAGGTTTACTGGATGATGAGCTCAGGGAATGATGGCAGCTCCCACTTTAACTCTCACTAAGCCTGTTGCGGACAAAAAGAGTCCTTGAATGTGGATGTAGACAGGTTACAGTTGCCTTTCTGAAGATTGGATCTAAAAGATGCAAAGCTTTACAGGAGGGCAAGAGACTAAAGACGGCACAGCATCTGTTATCAGAGTGATAGAACTGGCAACTTAAGGCTGGGACTGGGGTTGCAAACAGGATTATTGACACAGCAGCACAATCTTTAAAGAGATGATCTCATACCTGGTGAGGTAGATTCTCTTCTCGGTCAGCTGTCCAGGACCATGCTGAGGGTGAATATCCGGCTCATTCCTCACCACCTCTACTCCTTCGCCCCCACCGCTCTGCTCACAGCTGTGCTTACTGATCATGTAGAGCTGCCCAATCTTGTACTGGTGACCAGAAACGTACCAGGAAAATGTTTATGGTGGTGAGACAGAGAGAAAGAAAATGTGTTTAGAAAACATGTTCCAAAAAGCCAATGCTAAGTTTTAAGGGAGCCTACTATGCAAAATTCATGTTTTGCATGTTCTTCCGTTTGGGTCTCAATTTCTTCTAAAAACAGCCCAACTGTTTATAAAAAAACAATGCCAATGTTGTTTGACAATAAGTTGATGTATTTTTTGGTGTCTGGAAAATGAGCTGTTTGAAAAACTCCCGATTGCTTAATCAACAGGCAGTGCACCATTACCTAGCAACCACAGCTGAGTCCAACCCGTCACCTAGCAACCCAGGTGGATCTCCATCTGGTTTTACTGCTGTATGTGCTGTACAATGGCTGCTGGAAAAGACAAGTGTTTTGCTGTTCAGAGACCTCTTGCTGCATTCTTGTTGGTTCTCTTCTGCTTTTCACAGATACATGGTTGTATAATTGTTCATCTGTTTGAAGCTATTTTTATGTGAAAGTGCAAACACTGAGTTTACAGCAGCAGCTTAATTGGATTTAAGTGTCAAGAGGCCCTAAAAGAGCTCATTCTGAAAGGAGCTCAAAATGGGCCGAAGTGACCAGACTAAAATTGCATTATCTTGGAAAATTTAGTGCAAAACAATGTAATTAACACTTTTTGTACAGCTCATAGACGCATCATAACGTTTTCAAGGAAGCATAATAAGTCACTTTTAAGTTCACTACCGTGTACTCTCTTTGTTTTTGTTTCACATTGAAAGTATGCATGGGTGGGTGCTTACTTGTTTAGCTGTGTCTTTTTAGTGGGGGGAGCCAACAAAATTACTTCTACTGCTATAAACTGTGCACTCTTTCTTTTTCTTTTCAGTAGATTAGTTCTGATTTTATGTGTCTTTATTTACCAGTGGCTCTTTCCTAGATAAAGCTAATGACGGACCTTTTGTCCCCAATAAATATGTACCCCATATATTTCTCTCTCTCTGCAATCCTTGTCCACTGGTTCTGTGTTTAGCAGTGTCTTTTTTTTTGTCTGGATAGAGTAATGACACAGCTTTTCTGACCATTAACAATGTGTAGCGCTTTTTTTTTTTTTCCTGAGAAAAACCCTTGTTTCTCTCAGAAACTTCCTTACAGGGACACTATTATATTGTGCAGTCGCATAGCACCATTTTACCATCCAGTTCCATCCAAGTAATTGTGTTTCCTTCACATCTTATAAAATTGCTGTATATATCAAACACAAAATAAGTTTGACTGCCTTGAAAAAATTGGGATTCAGTCTCTTTAAGACTGAATCAAGTGTCCACTCAGTGAATACTCAGTGTTCAGCACATCATGACAACAGTGCTTCTCATTTGACCGTTTACCATCATTCTTTGGAGCATTGGACTGAGAAGTAGTTTGTATGGCAATCTCGGCAGACTCCCAGTTCCACCAGGTGTTTGCTAATTGCTGTGAGAGCATTTAGCTTTTCGGCACCCGTGACTGGTTGCCACAGGAGATTCAAGGATTTCTCAAATATGCTTGAACGAATCAAAGCGACGCTCTAGGCATGTTTTTGATTAAGGAATAACATTGTAACGTGGTGTAGTACATTTTACATTATACTAGCCCTTTCAGATGACACTGGTTGTGAATTATGAACAGACTGACGATACTTTACAACCACAACTTTTGTCTTAATTGTATTAAGCATTAATGCCAGAGTTCAGCGTCCAATACTGAACCTTCTGCAACTGTCACTTTTCGTTCGGTTTCATTTTCTTTGATCAGCCCAAGTTGTTATGGTGCAATCTATTACTAGCATAACTTGGAAGATGGCATGGCTGTGGCTTTCTGTTGACACCACCCATCTAAGTGCTGTTTGGGATGAAGTGACACATCGTCCTTAAATAATAACACTCATTGCATGAGAACAGCAGCCTCTCCCTGCCAAACAATGTACCTTCTGGCATCACAGTTACAGCTGATTATGAGAAAGATAGAAATTTCCTTTATAGCAATTTGCACTCAGCACCACAAAACCTAAAGGGTCTCCTGTGGCAGCTTTCAGTGAAAATCCTGAGATGTTTGTTGGTGTGGTTGATGGGTTGGACCTGCTGTGGTTGTAAACAGCAGTTCTTTAGTCCCACTGTTGCAACAACAGAAGAAGATCCCCTCATTAAGATAACACCTCTGTTGTGCAGCTTTCATATTTGCTATTTTGTCTAATCTTAAAAGTCAAAAGCTACTCTGGATCTTTAACATGAAATAACAAGCCTTGCAGTACACAGCCGTCTTTGTGATTTTGGGAGGATAAGGACAAATTGACTTGGCATTTAAACAAAAGCTGAAATATGTTTTTTTTTTTTTTAAATCACACAGGCAAGAAGGTATTACATAAAATCACAGATAAAAGGTCTGCTATATCAAGTCAGTGACTTTGTTTTTCCTTTTAAGAAATAATAGAAAAATCATCTGCAATGAGGAAGTAGTAGCATGAAAAAAAAAACAGGCCATGATCACAGCTGCAGCGTTAGGTTTTGTTTTGACAGACACTTGATCACGGCTTCTTGGGTGCAAGCTTTCGTTTTCTTTCTTTTTTTTTTTTTTCCTTAACTGCCTATTGGTGTGTATAAATATTGCCCTGAAGTGCCCATTTCAGAATTTTTAAAATTTAATTTGGCCAGGGAGGGTGAATGTGTACAGTCCTAATGAGGAAGATGGGACTTTGTTCTCTGCTGCAGCGCCAGTTTGTACCCGCTGCTGATGAGGCACTGTGAATGGAGTATTTTCTTTTACTGCTCCTTTGGGCATGTGAAGTGATCCTCGCTGTGCTCAGCCTGATAGAATCGCTTTGTGTATTTTCAGAAATCTACAGTCCCTTTTTTTGTCATTTCTTTTAGCCCAAATTACACAGTTTTGTGTTACTTCGAGTGTTAACCAGTTGCTGCGTTATTTTTGTAATTTACTGCGCATCACGGTTGAATTATTCCCTAAAATCTAATAAGCTTTAATGCCATTACAATGACGGTGTGACAAAGTGGTTCAGTTTATGTTCACCACTTGTCCCTTATATTTTATCATTTACTTTTTTTATAGTTGGTTATAATAATGTAAACATTGCAATTTTGCTTTACTTACTATCCCGGGTTTGTTTGTGTTAGCATTATGTTGCAAGATCTATCTATGTTAGGGTTGGTTATTATTTCTGGATTGTGGGTTGAATTTGTTTCAAGGTGTATTTATTTTTTCTTTGTATTCACCATCATTTGCCCTTGTAGATCTGCAGGAGTGTGGGAGGGGCCGACCCAGTACTTCCTGATTGAGTGGCTGGATGATGTCATTGATTACCTTATTGGGTTCTACCAATTAGAGGGTTTTTCTTTTGTGTATTGCTTTGTTTGTTTTTCTTTAAAAATAATCTTTTGGAGTTATTTTGGATCATGTGACTTATTTTGCAGATAATTTCATTAGGTAGGAGTTTGTAAATTGATTTGTAGTTTTGGTGTTTCTTTGTTTAGAATTTGTTTGTTTGACCTGTTCCTTGGTGGCTGTGTCCAATTAAGCACAGGTGTGGTGCCAAATGTGTATAAAACCAGTGAGTTTTTGAATGCTGAGAAGGGAAGTCTGAGAAATGACTGAATAAAAAATATAACTGGAAGAAACTGAAGCAGTGGCTGGTCCTGATTTTCTGCTCACTTCTGACCCTTGAGCCTAACCTACTTTACAGACGGCACTAGAGTGGTTTATTAAAAGTACTCTGCTCCTCTGTTGCCATTGTAATGCAATTCATTTTGTTGCCCTATATTGGAGGGGCACAAAAGCAGAGTTTTAATTAAAAGCAAGTAACAGCAAAAGATAGGGAAAAAGAAAGAAAGAAATGAGGAGAGCAGACATCTACATACCATCCTTCACTTCTGACATCTTGTGACACTCCTTCTTGTTCCAATTACAATGGAGTGTCAACATTCAATATTTACTCATTGGATGTTTATTTGACTTAATTAATCATAGTAATGTGTACTTTTAACACCGCAGCACTGAGTACCTCCTACACATGCTATAGATCTTCTCACCTTATTAAAGACTTTTCTGTCCTTAAATCACTGTTGCCATGTGTCACATGTTGACAGTTTTTTTTGGCATGTTTCCTCCTACTGTTGTTTTTTTTTTTTAAGACCAGTCTTAAAGCAATGCAACCATCACGAATTCTGGAAAGGTGTAAATATAGCCTCTCACAACAGGATGGAAACTCTGCTCATTGTGTCAGTGTGACTGCAAGTGAACGGAATAAAATATACTTCAGTTTCCTTATGATTAAATCTCTCATGCGCATGTGCTCGGCTACAATTTCCAGTTCTAAACAAATGGAAACCAACTTGCCTTGGCACTCTCTTCGTCCTTTGTTAAGATAAAAATACAAGTTTGTTTTTAATGGCCTGCTTTTAAACCGCAAAACGAAAAAGATTTGATAAAAGCTTTTTTGGAAATAAATCAATAATTATTGTGATTGAAAAGTGGGTTCTATACAGTGATTTGCACTGATAACTTTGCTGCCACAGAAACGCTGTATATAGGAAAGATTTATTTTTGTCGTACAATTTAATTGATAATAGATTACATTAATATGATTAGTTAAGGTAAAAGCAGAGTAGTTTAATCATTTGGCTTAATGAGGGTTAGTTCATAGTCTGCTGCCAGTTTCCCATCTTGTCTTATGTGCAAGCATTTTAAAAAGTCCTTGTTGTATGAACTAAGCTACAGGAAATAAGCCAAATTTGGTGAAGCGTTAAGTCTTGTCATGTTGTTGATGCACTCTTGTTGTGAATAGCGTTTTAGGATCAAGGTTGTGGAATTGACATCATTCTGCTGCATATAAATGGGGAACGTTACAGTTGTCATGACATCACCGCCTTTTATTTATATTTTTGGGTTTTCATATTTATGAATCTCATTATTTTCTGAGAATTACTTTTCTTACATTATTTGAGAACCCTCAAGGGACCAGGCAGACTATTTACACGATTTAGCATAAAGTCGGTCATGCTATCAGTTTCACTTTCAGTTTCAAACATCTACGATTTCTTTTCGGTTTTGTAACAGTGAAGTATTCTTGTTAGCAATAAATCTCGCAGCAGTCGAATGGACTTGAGGTAATAATTACAGCTTGGAAGATGAAGAAGTAACATCTACATCCATCTAATCCACCCTTGGCTTAACAGACAGAAATCACCATCTGACAACTTCTGTTTTCCTCACGGTGCATTCAGATTTAAAGGAAAATTTCTCTCGAGGCCTTTTGATAAGAATTTAAATTGGTAAAGTTGTAAGTTTTACAGCATTTATATTCATGCATACAAACTAAAACAATCAACTCCGCAAGATTGTGGATCATTAACTGTTTTATAACTCGAAAGTTGCAAACAGCTGCTGCTGTGTCTGACTGAAAATGGAAATTTATTTTATGCTTGCTGCAATTACACAAGTAATAAAGTTAAGCTAAATCTATTCCCAAAATGGAAATCTGCTTTGTAGGAAGTGTGACTTAAACATTCAATCAGTATCTTTACACAAAGAGCAGCAGAGAAAATAGCATTGAAAAACTTCAGTGGTGTTTGCAGAAAAAACAGCTAAAAATAAAACTTCTAGTGCTTACAAGCTAGTGTAAGCACTACAGTAGCGCCATATGTTGCTGAAGTAACAATTTAAAGTTTCCATCAGCTCTGTCCTCAAAAGTTGAACGGTTTACAGTTCATTTATTGATTTAAAAAAAAAAAAAATCTTGTATATAGCAATCACTCAGGTAGTGGTGAATTTACTCAGATTGTTTCAGTTTTTATGTTGTTGAAAAGGTTGCTCCCTTTAATAATTGCAGTTGCTCCGGTGAGTCACGCTGCTAACCTAAGATGTTAAACCTAAAAACCCCAGAGGCAGTGACAGTCTCCTGTTGACATAACCATTTGCTGTAACTAGCACCAACTCTGCCCTCCAGAAATGTTGTTGTCTTGTGACATTTTCATCAATTATACTCAAGTTGAAATGCAAATATTTAGCTCGCTGACATACAGTGTTTGACATATAAAGACAGCTTTGCTTTAATGAAGTGTACAGAGATCTTTTAAACCATGTTACAATGCTAAGAGATGTCTACATAGAATGAATAAAGAAAATTTAATGTGATTTGAAGAACATCTCCCTGGTAAAATATTATTCCAAATTTCATTAATGTCTGGTGTTAGTAAACCCAGTATGGCCTTTATCAGGTGCGCTTGTGGAGTTGCTTGCTAATGCAAATAGCAAACATATCAGTCACATGACTTCAACTCAGTGCTTTTAAAAATCTAGACATGGTGAAAACAACTTCACCTGATGACTACTTCTACAGAAGGATGCACTGTGACAAAACAGGAACAATGAGTTTACTCTCCTCAAAAGACCTCCACCGTCATCTGATCTTAACCTAGTCAAGCTCTTTTGGAATGAGAGATGGGTATCATGGAAGTTCAACTATCAGATCTACATCAACTTTTGACATGTTTTGGTTCACGTTTAATGTTTCCGATGAAGAATTCTGGCTGCTCTGAAGGCAGAAGTGGATTCTGCTACCAAGGTGTACCCCGTAAAGCAGCCAGTAAGTGGATTAGTATCTTCCTCAACCAAAAGAATGCAAAGATTGAACCATCAGCCTTACCGACTCACTCTACCAACTGAGCGTCCGTTACCTGTAAGCTTTTCCACAAGCAAAACGTAGCTCTTAGCATTCCACGGCACAGAAGCAGAGTATTGTGTAACAGAAGAGGTAACGGATATCCAGATGTGCATAATCCACCTATTTTAATGCAGCATGTTGGTTTAAATTTTGTAAATGGCATGAAACGAAGTAGAATTTTTTTTTTTATTTGATACATCCTCAGGCAAAGCTGCATTTAAACTTGCATTACATTCAGCCAAAAGAGGATTTGCTGCAAGCTCAAGTTTACGTGTGTCCTGCACTGATACCGTAAATCCCATTCTGGACTGTTATTTGTCACTGTCATTGTTGTGGTAACAGATAGAGGTGAGGGATGGGGGTAGGTGGGGAGGGGACGTGGAGGTGCGTACAGGAGAGGATGAGGACATTTCTTTTGAAGGACACTTGAGGGAATAACTCTCTCACTCTCCTCCCTACAACAGGATCTCTGTGTGAATAAAACTGCAGGCCAGGTAGCTTTGTCTGAGCTAAGGTCTTGGTCAGCTGTAACCAGTTTGACTAGTTTCTGTATTTGCTCTGAATGCTACACAACTCCCTCATTTGTAAAGTATACACACACACACACACACAGGGGGTGGAGTGGGGGGGCGGAACAGTAGTAAAACAATAGAAGCCTGACTTTGTGGGGATGCCGCCCAAGTGCATTGACTCGGTCAACCAAGGATGCTTCAAGATCCAGTGTGCCAAAACACCCTCGGAAAACACTTCCCATCATCACATTAACACTTTTCTAGATTGTAAGTTGATTATATATGATCACATTGCAAATTAACCTTCTCTTTAGTTCGCTGGTTTACAGTAATGGGAGGGTAGTGGTTCGTTTGTGTGTGTGTTGCATGAGCGTGGGAAAGACAAACACTTACCTCCTCCACCGTCAGTGGCATACATATGCGATACTCTTTCATCAACATGGTGCTGCTGCAGGGAACACTGTCTTTTGGAGGTGAACGGAGACACTGTGCTTTGGTTTGTTTATCTGTGTTGTCTCGCTTGCATAGTAGACTTGCTCAGGCACGCAGCACATGGACCACAGTGACCTCTTTACAGCCGCTCTCCTTCCCCCCTTTGTTTTGCTGATGTCAGGAGTCCGTGGAGTTGAGTCCACCTCTTTGTCAATGAACGTCTACCGTTTTCTTACTTTTTTCCGCTCCTCTGAGGCTCGTCTTTGCTTTTGGTTTCTCTTCCTCAATTAATCTCGACTCGACTTCTTAACTGCTGTTAGTACTCTCTCCTTGGCTGCTTCTTGTCTCCGTTTTCTGTTCTCTCTGATTGCTGTTTTCTCCCTGCCTTTCTGGTGCTGCAGTAAGAGCAAAGTGGTAATTAGCTAAGGTAAAAAAAAAGACCTGCAGTTAACCAACCTTTCCCCTCCTGGCTCTGTCTGAGCTTTGTTTAATTCCTCTGCATGTGTAACCTTCCTGTCTCTGCGGTGCTCCTCCTCTCTAAACCGGCCTCCTCTGCTTTCAGTCCCTCTCACAAATTCCTCTGCCGGTTTTCCTTATCTGTTTTTTTCCCTCTCCGTCTGAGAGTATCCTCTCCCCGCCCACTGTATTTTCATTCCTTTCCACCTGTGTCACCTCCCTCCATGATCTTTATCTGCTCTTTTGTTTCTGTCACTCAGATGGCTGTCAACAATAATTGTGTTCCTATAACCGACAACTTGAAGTTGTGACGATTTTTTATTTTTTTATTTTTTTACGCATACTTCTCCGACATCTACGTCCAGAGGCACTTTTGGCATAGATATTTTTTTGTAAGGGCATGCTAATGCATGAACTGCTTTTTGGAGTTATATCACCAACACTCACCAAAATGAGTTGTGAAAGCACACAGATCTTTACTTCAGCAAAATCCTTTCAAAAGAGAAGTGCAGTCAATAAAACATTGAGAACTTCCAGTAAAGTTAACCACAAACACACACCAGCTGTTGGCTACTTACAGTTGAAGTTATGCAATGTGAACAGTAAAAAAAAGATGTAAATTTTTATCTCCATCAGATGTCAAATCAGACTCATTTAGAATTAACAATGCTATTTATATTGCCTAAATGCTAAAACATTTCATAAAGATTTTTTAAATTTTATTTTTAGTAATTTTCTTCCGTACAGTTTCTTATTATTTGAAATGATGTGATGTGTTACACATTTTAGATATGTTTCCTTAAGGCTGCTGCAACTTTTTAAATAAATATTTTTTAATATATTTATTGAAAATGTCACTATGTGATGACAGTATGATAGGAGTCAGATAACTTGTTGAAAAAAAAATAAAGAATTGAGCTCCTATGTGTTATTCCAGGACTATTTAGAAACAACCAATCAGAGCCAGGAGGAGCTAAGACCCTCCCCCTGACTCTGATTGGTTGTTTCTGACCGGGCGCAGTGCATTTCTTCAAATTGCAGTAGTAGCACTGGTGGAGGAGCTCAATATTTTCACAGATTGTCTGACTCAAACATATTTTTTTATGAAAGTGAAATTTTAAATTAATGTTTTAGTTATTTTCTGCAAATATATTTTCTTTTTTTTTTTTGCTTCTTTTAGTAGAACTATGTGTACTGTGTTCTGTCCTCTGAACTCCTTAGTGAAGTGATTTGGTTTTTCGTGCTTACTTATCTTAGGACAAAGGATGAAATTTAGCTTTTGAGCTAATTCTTTCATATTTACACTGCCATGAATTGAACTAATGTTGATTAATGTGTGCTGTCCTAATCAAATAAATTAAAGTCCTCAGAATAACTTGCTGGAATTTTGCACAGTTCACCCTGACTGAACTGGTGCAACTGAATCAGGTTGTTTTCTAGCTCAGACACACTTTTCAAATTGTTTAAGGGACTGTGGAGAGAGCTTTGTGTGTCTATTTAAAAATATTAGCTACTATGTAGCTAGTTTGGGAATATTTGTGCCCAAGCTTTAACTTTCTGGTTGATGTCTTGAGATATTGTTTCAATAAGTTCCTTGTAATGTTCTTTCCTAAATGTCCCATCTAGTTTGTTAAGTGCACCAATCCCTTCTTCAGCAAACGTAGCTCTTTCCATCCTGAATGGTATGACGTCTAGACATTCCTACTCTGTTTATTGTTCCTTGGAATAATGTGGCATCTTAAAGCATGAACACATAACAGCTCGGTATGAATCAGACTTGTCCTTGTTGTGAATTAATCAGAAGCTTACAAAGCAATGACATATTTATCTGAGCTTTCCAAAATTCCTTAAAATCTTAGTGGAGATAAATCAAATCTTTTAAATAATATGAAAATTTTTTTTTAGAAATACTCAGCCACGGTTCTGACATTTAGCATGTATAAGAAACTTTGGCCAGGTTAACTATTATGAGCTAAAAGAAGACAGTAATTATGATACCAAAAATATTCACGTGAAGAAACAGATGATTTTCATCTTGTGCAGGCGGAAACATTCAGACCGCTGGAGAAAAGGACCTGTGATCTTTTTGTCTCTGTCTCTAAAGGAACAGCCCTTGATTTTTAGAAATCTCAGTGTTAAGGTATGTATCTGAATGCTGATAGCTTATTCTGAAATGCTGTGCTAAAATGCTTCAAAGACAGTTAAGATATTAAGTTTTTAGCCTTTGTTTAAAAAAAAAAAAACAAAGGTTTCAGGGATTCCAAGAAAGCCTTTAGTTTTCCTTGGAATCTTCAGGGAAACTTGTTAGTAATATTCCCACACTTTGGAAATTGTGACATGTAATTAAATTATAACCTTCAACCAATCATGCAGTGACAATTTCTTTTCTTTGTACTTATTCTAATAACATAGAAAAGTCCCAAGGATTCCTGCTGTAATACAGTTTTGTAATGTATCAGCTTGGAAACGTTTGTATATTTTCTGGTGTCACAGTGGAGTAAAAAGTTTGAGAAGCACTGCCCTACATCATTGTTGCCCAAACTGGCGGCAGCCTCCTCAAACGGATCCCCTTCCCCCTCCTCCTCTTCTTCTCAGCGCGCTTCAGTTCACTCTGAGTGTATGAATGGCCGTCACACAGAGTGGGCCACTGGATTAAACATTACCTGAGCCAAGAGAGCTGCCATGAAGCAAAGCCCCTGACTCGCTCACATTGTATTCCCTCCTGACCTTCAGCTGGGTTTAATTGAATCCACTCTCAGTCAATGAGTAGTGGAATTGAAGCCGTCCTAATATCTGACTCGTGTCTGTCCTTGAGTCATGGGGTGCTCAGCTGCTGCCCGCCGCATATTGTTGCTTCCCCATCAAATAGGAGAAGCAGATGTTTTGATTTCTCCGATTCAGGCTGGTGTCCCAAAACCAACAGGCGGGCCTGGATTCCTCCTTGCTGGCGGATTTCGTTGGCTGCGTCTAGAGATGGAGCTGAAGGAGCTCCACGTGTCTTTCCTATCATCAGCTCCTTACTGAAAGAGCGGTGAAAATAAATTCCTGGTGGGGTTTGCTGCTATCTTATCAGATCAGTGTTTGGAGAAGGGAAGCCACTTCAGAGAGCTGAGGTGTGCTTTGCTCGTCTCAGCCTGAATTTTTCCCCAGACTCGCATTGACTCTGATGGCACACGCGGCATCACAGTTTAAAGACTGATTGGCTGAGACTCAGATGCACATTCAGCAACGAATCCGAGATTTGTTTGATGATTTAACTGTGGTTAAAGAGCGATCTGGGGGCAAAATGGCAAGACTCTCGGATGACTTATTGGGCTAAACGTAAAATTGATTTCCTAATTGATTTCTTTGAGAGATTGAACAGATGTGTATGGGAGTATGAGGTTTATCTGCCTGCCTGGTTGAAAAGTCAGTGTGAACTATTTACAAAGGATGCAAAGCTCTAGAAGTGACTTGACAAGTATCGCTTGGCATCACATGCAGCGTATGTTATTTACATGTGATTTGTATCCGGATACATAACACTGCAAACACTGAATCAGTCTACTCTGTGAGAAGACAAATGCAAATAAGTCGCACCGAGATACAAAACATGTAAATGTCTGCCGCGGGGTAGCACAAAGCCAAAGAATAACAAAATAAACATAGAAAAATAGGGAACTTTTCTATAGTATGTTTTGGTCCTACCTCTAAGAGGTACACTAAAAGCATACAAAGCTGCGCACAATCACTGTGAATACTGTCAGGGCTCTGCATCTAATATGAAAGAAAGCAACATCACAAAGGGGGGTGCCTTTAGTTTTTTTTTCTTTACGCTAGGGAGGACTTTGTACTTCAAGACTTTTCTGAGCGGTTCACAGTTTAACTGTGCAAAAGTGCTATGATGCAACATTTTTAAAATGTCCCTTAAAATAGGAATATTGTCTAAGATGTTGAAACTAGATATCAACGTGAAAAAAAAAAAGAAGTTAGTTGGCTGCCTTGTTGGTTTACTGACTAACTTCATAAATCTTGTACTTGCTGAACTCAAGAAGTGGTTCACTGCAAAATGGCTCCTTTTGTACACAGACTCTCAGCTGACATCTTTCCATCGGTACAACACATTGTAGCAATACTCAATTCCTCCCCCCCCCTTTTATTTAATTGGGATTTCATGCAATAGACCAAAGCAGGATTAGTGTGAATTGGGAAAAAATATATCTACCTGTTTACAAATAATTCTGAAAAGCATGCTGCTGTCATGTTTGGTTTGCAGATGACCCAGGCACAGATGTCTTTGTTGAGGTGAATATTTGAAAAGGTGACAACCAAAGACAAACTTATTTATAGAGAAGACATGTGATGGCCAGAGCATAAAAAAATCCAACACACAGAACTGAAGTAGGCAACAGAACGATCCAACAGGGAATGACTGAAGGTGAGTGGCTTAAATAGTGGGGAGCTTGATTACTGAACAAAGAAAAAGTGGCTGATTGAACAGAGTGCAGCTGGAGGAGAGACCAGGCAGACAGACTGAGTGGAGGGAGACGCAGGAGAAGAGCAAGGAAGAGAATGATAATGATAATAATAATAATAATAATAATAATAATAAAAAAACTAAACTAAATACAAAAGCATGATTAACCAAAGTGAGATCTAACCACAAATAAATGAATAATGGTTACAGGAGATTGATTTAAAATAAAGGAGGGATGGTAGAAACAGAAAACTAATAATTAAGTCGGGGCCATATAAACAAATCAAAATGCAAATAGTGGGAACACCAAACAACCCAGGATCCTGACAGCTGCAGGCTTGTATTCAGAGCTGCAATGAAATGGTTTTCATCAATGCAAATTTATATATTAGAATTGCCCAATCAAAGACCGAAATCCAATTGAAAAATTTGCGTTAAGATCTGAAAATTGACGTAACAGAGTCTCTTTGTCAATTCCGATTGAGATTAAGCTACTGAAGAAGGAAAATTGGCACAAAGGTGGACGTAATTGTGCAAAAGTGTGGTGAAAGCTTATTTTAGAAAGTAAACAATTGGGAGTGAAACTGCTTACATGCAACATTAGATTTTATCTTTTAAGATTTTATTTGTGAAACTTTTGAAAACAATTAGATGAATTTTCAGTAAATATGTTTATATCACTTTTGTCAGTTTCAAGTTATTTCAGTAACCACT